GGACTGGACTCGATGATCTTCTGAGGTCCCTTCCAGCCCTAATGTCTATGAAATCTATGAAGCTCCCTGCTCTTACAGGGGGGAAATGGTAGGAGCAAGGGTGACTGACAAAAGATTTCATTACCAGACTTCTTTCCTAGTGGTGCCTGGTAGAGAAAGTATTTGTCCCACAAGCACTTCTCACTTAGAGAGTTTATTGGTCTTTGTGCCCCTTGTTAGTTTAGCTATGAACACACTAGCTTTATGTCCACGTAGATAACATCATGGGTCTTTTCCCACTGAACTCCAGAGTGTTTTCTATTTTCTATCCAGCTTTCCACAGGTGGAGCTATTTTCTATCCAGCTTTCCACAGGTGGAGCTAGAAACTCCCCTGGTTTTCCTGGAAGCACCCAGATGAGGTGCACTTCAGGGAAAGTATACATACAATCATAGAAAAGTAGGCCTGGAAGGGACCTCAGGAGGTCATCTAGTCCAGCTCCCTGTTCAAGGCAGGGTCATCTCTACCTAAACTATCCTATACAAGTGTTTGTCTAACCTATTTGTAAAAATGCATGAACAGCCCTCTCACGCAACTACTAGGCAGAATGCCCCAAAACACAACTCCTTAAATTCCCACAGGTAAAGCAGGGGGACAAGGGCACTGCCAATGTCGTGTTGCTGTAAGGACAGGAAATGAGTTGGTTAACATACACTAGAGAGCTACAAAGGAAAAAGCAGTTTAGTGACCTGCTGATCTATTCCTGTTTTTCTGCAAATCTGGTCAGTTACAACTTTTGTGTTTTCTTTCTGATAACTGATAATATTAAGTAGTGGTGAGAACCCAAACACACATGCTCAGTCCTAGAATCACACCGAAGTTGGGTTGGACCAGACCCCCAGAGGTCACCTCGTCCTGCTAGGCAGGATTCTGCTTTTCCAAACCATCTCATACAAGTACTCAACTCACCTATTCCTAATTTTCCAATGATCCCTATCTTAGTTTTCTTGATTTCCCTGTTTCTTTACACTGATCATTTCAGAAGCCTCTAATTTTTTCACTCTGAAAGGAAATCTGAATTACTGGTTCACACACTTCCATTCAATCCAACTTGCCCAGAACACGTTCAGCATTTTTCCTTCTACTTCTCATGAAAACCCTTAAGGATTTGCTGAGGTTGAAGAGCCTCTCCCTGTCACACCCCCCTTCCCACCTGTGCCTCCAGCAGGTTTTAAGGGCAGGATGATGACAGCATCCTGGACAAGAAGGGGCCTCCGGAGGTCATCTAGTCCAGCGCTTCTCAACCCGTGGGTCACGACCCAAAAGTCGGTCTCAAGGATATATGAAACAGCTGCAAACAAACTTTAACATGTGGGAAACCATGACTTTTTCCTCACACGCTGCAAAGGGCTGCTTGCCCTCCCCGCCCCGCAATATACCTCCATGTGCCCACCCTCTGCCCCACACGGGAGTGAAGGGCACTGGGTCAGGACTAGGCACCAAGCTTTACAAAGGGGTCCTAGTACAAAAACAAGGTTGAGAACCGCTGGACTAGTCCAACCCCCTGTCTGAGGCGGGCTCATCCCTACCCCAGGCTCAACCCTGCCCCAGGGCAACCCCATTAACAGCACCCGGCCCTCAGCCCCTCCACCGATGCCCAGCCAGCCGGGCCCTGCAGCTGAGTCAGGTCACGGGGCATCAGCCTTCATCGGACGGCCTCGGGCAGGGGGGAGATGGGCACGGGCCGCCTCCCGCATGCAGCGCGGGGGCCCCTCGGAGCTGCGGGGCCGCGCGAGGACGGGGGCGGCCGCACTCACAGCGGATGGTGTGGAAGGAGGCCTTGGGCCGCCGCTCGAAGCTCTCGCCCAGCTGCAGCCCGTGCTCCTCCCTGTCCAGCAGCGGGTTAGCAGCGCCGTTCATGCCCTGATCCCCCGGCCCAGCCCAGACCAACCCCGCCTCGCCTCGCCGCTCCCCCACCTCCCTCCTTCCTTCCGGGCGGTGAGTGCAGCTGGGAAAGCGGTCCGGACCGGCGCGGCGGTGCAGGGCCTGGAGCCAGGAAGTGGCTCCCTGCATCCTGGGCAGGCCTCGAGCAGCTGACGCTGGGCCCTGCCTGCCCAACTCGCTCCTGCCGCGACGCCCCTCGTTTCTCAGTCGCCTGAGCCTGCCGGGGTCCCTCTCCTTTGCCTGTCCCCGTGGGAGCCGGGACCTTGGGGCGCCGTGACTGACTGGGGGGGAGCGAAGACGCCCTTGTCGCGGGGCGGGAGGAATTCTGGCTGGCGACGGCCGATGGGCGCTGGCTCGCTCCTAAGGCAGTCGCATCACACGAGGACCTCGGTTCTGAGATGTGAAGGGGCCCAGTAACTCGTGGAGCCGGGGTGACAGATCAGGCTGGGCCAGCAAAGGTCGGGGCATTGGGAGCTCTGCTCTTTCCCCGATTCTGGAAGTGGGATTCTGGAAGTGGGATTCCCACCCCCCCAGGTTATTCTCATGTTCTCCACAGCCTTTCACACCAGCTTTTTCTTCCCAAACAGGTCACCGTTTTCTTCCGAAACAGGTTACTACCGCTGGTGCAGCCTCACAGGTAGGGGTCACAAAAGGAGCACTAGTGTGGATTGCCTGCTGGTGTTTCAGCTGTTTTGTTATACAGGCAATGAACTGAGATTGTGACCTTGATGTGGAGGATAGTAACATTTTTACAGGCATCCTCTTCTGGTCTCAGCATACACACTGCTTCGTTTTCTTAGGAAAATGAAGTCGTGAGCGAATTTGAGACCTTTTTCATTAAGCACTAGTGCCTCCATCATTGCTACCACGCGTGGAGCTCTGAGCAGGGGAAACCAGGGATGAAAAGGTTGGCGTGGATGCGGTTAAACTTTCAGTTGAACTCTTAAACCCTTCCCCTGTTTCCTGTCCTGAATTTCCTTGTGTGATGCTAATTGGTGCTACCAAGAAAGAGAGCCCCATTTGACATATTTTGACCAAAAGCATAAAGGAAAATAAAATTGGGATTATGGCCCCTTTGCTTTTTAATAGCTTCTAAGTGAGGCGCAGAAAAGATTGGAATGTGGTTTGTTTTTATCACATTGGATATTTCTGAACTTTTGTGGAAGTGTCAGCATTGTGGGCTTGGTACTCTCTCAGCTTGGCATTTAGAGCAGAACCCCCCCCCCCCCCCC